ACGCGACATTGAAGATACCGACCCGTTATACGGGCTGGCAGTCCTGTTGATCGGGTCGCTGGGCGAGTGAGGCGCGGCAAAATGGGAAGGAGCGTGGTGGGAATTATTAGCTGTCGAATTAGCTATCGAACTTTGCCCCCGAAATAATGAATCGCGAGGGTTGGAGTCTCCATCGTCATCCAAATCAAGGCCAGATGAATATCCCGGCTTTTCACCTCGGGCAGTCACTGCTAGAGCATCGAGCTCAGTTGAAGTAGCGAGGTGATTCTGAGACTTCATAAAAGAAGTACGATCGTCAGACATAAACTTGTAGCGGCCATCCGGGTTGCTCTTGAAGATGACAATGCCAGTAGTAATTATTAGCATTAGCAGGAGAACCAACGTGCAAACCGCGTTCAGGATCCAGAGCACAACACCAACGACACCGGTAACAATTCCAGGCTGGTCAAACACATCGGTGAAGATGAGGAGGAAGATGGCGTTTATGAAGTTGACAACCGCAATAGCAATGTTGAAGGAATTGGTCTTCTTATCCATCCAAGGTCGCAATACGGCAGATGCAATGAGAGCGGCGGCCTCGATGAGAATGAATGCAATGGCCTGAACGATGCCGGAGTTCTGGGCAAATGCAATGAACATAGACTTCACGATGGTGTATCCGAGAGTAGGAATGATGAAGTAGTAAGCGGAGGCGCGGAATTGAATGTAAAGGAAGCCTATCGCACATCAAGTTAGCATTGAAGGTATAATATTTACATATAACGACAGTCACATTCATAAAAAGCCAGAATCTAGAATAGGAGAATTACTCACCCCACTTATTAAGTGTCTGAGGGTCCGAGAACAAAATATACGCCGGGTTCCTGTGAAGCGCGACTGAACGATGCGCAATTCGGACGACCTTATAGGCTGCCCAAGCTAGTACGGCATTGACAAGGAGGAGGAAAAACACGGCTATGACCATCAGCGCAGGAGAGTCATTCTGAGTGAATTCCCAGAGGCAAAGGATTGTTACTGGAGGATGTCCAACGAGAGCCATTCGGAAGAGGATGCCTTTAAGGACGGTACCTATGAGCATGCAGCAATTGGCATTAGTACATTATTCGCATAGAAAGCTATACCGAAATATAAATTTAGATGATACTCACGCCAACCGTTGCGGAACTCTAGAAAAGTGTCGCCCTTTATCCACTTCTGCTTCGCAGCCAGTTCGCATATTCCTTTGAAAGCAACCACGCATAAGGTAGTTACAACCATAACAAGGTAGAAGAAGACAATCGCTGTCAAGAATAGATTCGTAGTTTCAATATCTGCTTTAAAAGCCACACGTTGGATGCCGTATACGATATAACTCCCATAGGAGGTCATAACGTTTGCTCGCTTCATGAGCTTAGAACCGTGCTCCACCATGCTACGAGGGAGCATTGCTGTCCCCCGGTCGAAGAGATCAACTGCGCGCTTTTGTACTTCTACGGACACAGTCGAAAAATAATCAGCCTGCGTGATCAATGTAGAGGCTGTACCTCCTGTTGAGCGCTGATACCAGGTGAAGATGCGCTGCACTAATGTTAAGTGTTAACAGGTACTTTTATGATAATTGAAACTTCTGCATAAGAGCAAAACTACGTTCACTCAGATTAGATAGAAAATGATGAGTTAACGTACTGAAAGCGACATCGATGATACCCATACTCCATTGGAAATCTTGAGTCCACGCCTGCACAACAGGAGGCAGAGGAACTCCCACGAGGCCAATCATAGCCTGTGCCTGGAAGTATCCCACCAACGACAAGGCATTCGCAGCAACATGCGAAGCAGCATTCGTATGTCCCAACCCAGAGAGAAATCCAGACGATGCCAGAGCCAAACCAGCCACTATAGCCGAGGCCCATTTAACCCCGATTAAGTTGACGGTTTGTCCATTCGAAACCATTGCCTCGACGCAAGCAACGCTTTGACCACTTTGAGGACCATCAGTTGCGTTGATCAAAATCCTAACTTTAGCATCGAGATCAGGAAAGTCGTAAGCGATAGACGGGATCCTAGATGAAGCGCCGGGGACGTCAATGTCAAAGGGATCGGACGTTTTCCCCGGACTCATAGGACAAAACCCAGCTAAGCCAAGATCACAAGGCTTAACTGTAGTGCGCATGAACGAGTAGCCATAAATGGTAATTTCGACATCAAATTCAACCTTGGCTTCGATAGTGGAGATGGCCGATATATTCACAGAAGCCTTGTCTGTAGCCGGGTTGTAAATAACACTAAACAAACTAGCCGTAAATCCAGAGTTTTCCTGGCAGATATTAAGAGAGGTAGATTGGAGAATTCGTTCTGCCGTCACGGGGAGGATGATGGATGCGAATGAGATGACCGCCAAAAGCGGTGATCCTATGGAAAGCCTCATCGTCCTCGCTATTAAATAGTCGAGTTCATGAATCCAAGTAAGCTATCATTGAGTTTCTTCGTCCAAAATCCGATGGTTTGATCAAGTCTAGCTGATGCGACCACGGAGATGGAAAATGCAAATCGTGCAATCAACGCCTTATTTGATGCGCTTCGGTTCAGTCGGATCGTAGTGTAAATACGTCGGATCGCACGATGTCGCGGTAATGGTTAGTTGAAAAGCGAGTGGAATGCACAACCAAAATACCGGGCGACGGCGGCGGAGGCGGAGGCGGAGGTGGAAGCGGAGGTAGAGGGGCGGTTGAAGATGTAAAAGCAGAAAGAATCAAACGAAAGAAACAGATAGCCGAAACGAGTGAACGGTGATGAAAACGTGGTGTGGAAGAAATCGCTGGTAAGCAACTAGCCGGGGGTGGTTTCCCTCGATCAGGTCTAGGATCAGGTCTAGGAAGTAGCAGTTAAAATGCAATGTGCGACTTCTCTACCGCCTACAGCCTAGGTTACATGTATGTATTGTACCTAACATAGGTACCTACTTAATAAGTGGCGTGTAACGGCACCAACGGCTGCTACGGGTTCCTAGATCCATGTCCCCTTGAAGAGGCAGTGCAAACCAGTCGCAAACAAAGGTGGGTCGCACAGCCCCGCGACCTTGTCAGGTATAAATAAGAGCTGCCCATTTGAATACGAGATCTACATACCTAACCTACCTGTTCCAGCTGTTCATACAGATCCATAAACACCATCTTCATGTACGTATCTTATAAGAAATAATTAGGTAAATAAGTTGTTTTGACAGACCAGGCCAAATAAACATTACTATTTGAACTTAGAGTAGTCTATTTAACATACCTTGAAGAAAAGTACCTAACCTACTTATTAACTGATGTGCATAGGTACCTAGGTTAGGTACATATCCAGCGTTCTATCCCTTGGCTACATACCTAGGTTACCTACATGCAATGGTGGGGGTAGTAAGCAGTACGTACCTGGAGTAATTTCGACAATGATCCTTCTGCGCATCAGCCAATTGTTTCGAAATCAGCAATTATTTACGAGCAAAAGCAGTTGCTCCAAAGAAATGCCAAGCTACATACAAAAGGAACTACCTACATGTAGGTATAACCCCATGTTCCTATGTAAGCCAATGCTTAAGTACATACATGTATTAGTGGAATAGACCTCAATAAATAGGTACCTGTATCTATAAGTCGGAGAGAAGTTACTCTGTCCCAAGAAACGCAGGAACAAAAGCTAAATTTATGGGTCAGGTTAGGTAAGTTCTAAATATGGGTCTACATCCCCAGTTTCCGCCATTGGCAGATTGGATTGACATAAACTGTGGAGTTTTCCCCGATGAAGAGAGATTTAAAATAACCCTTTAGCAGGGAAATCCACGCAGCCACGAGTAGTGTTATAGTCTGAACACTATCTCAACCTCCGTCAACTATTTAACACAGCCTATGTACTAGCAGTAGAAACAAACTAAAATCACTCGAACCATAAGGGAAGCCGTTACGTTACTTTGGTGGAGCTCTAATATGATCAGGATAGAATGTGCCGTCTTCATAGACCTGTAAGATAGATCGATCTGCAGATTGTTCCGGACAGGGATCTTTTGTCAAGTTTCAACGAAAAGAAGTTGCATTTTTTAACCCGAAATTTCTTAGGGGTGGTCGTGATTTGGTTGTGAGGCCGTGGTTAAGAAATGAGAATTCGACTATGTTGAAACACGAACAGCCGTAAACCCAACTTGAATTAAACCACCGACATAGCTGGGAGCTATTCTCTAAATTTCTTGACGATCCAAGGATCTACGTAACATTAGGTATACGCAACAACACGAATATCCTTCAAATAACGGATTGGCGATCCGAAGTTAGTAACTTCCAGTTAAGAGTTAATTCGTTGCAGCAATATAATAATATTTCTTCATATTTAGGTTCCTCGTTATAGATTCCTGCCCCATCCTTATATTCAGATGAACTCCTTCTGTAACGAATCTCTCTAATTGCCCAAGTACCTATTACTCGTCCATGAAAAGGGGTATGTATTCCGCGGATTCAAGAGCTCACCATTGGTCTTAACACCGAGCCTTCGCGTCTCCTAAACCATGGCCAATATCAACGAACAGGGTCTTTACAGCTATGACACGCCAATACTTAATGTGATCATACCCACCTAACCCCATACTTGATTTCCCGTCGTAACACGACACATGTGAAGAGCTTATCGAAATTATTGACAAATGGTATACGCCGCAGAGCAAACTGCCAGGGGTAACAGCCCCCTAAAGAACAACTACCAAACCGGAATAAATGAAAAAAAAGGGTCATTCGTATTGTGGGGAGTTCCCAAAAAATTAATGTGCTTCCTTCGAATCAGTTTGGGAGACCATATTCTAACAGACAACCCGGAATTTTCAACTGCCAGAAACTAGCCCCAGCGCCTAGTTATTGCTTCGGAAGCCCTCGGCGGATTAAAAAAAAAATTAGGTAGGCGAAAAGGGGGGGAAGCGTACATTCTTACAGCAAGTGCCTTTAGCTATCCTTTTACGTGTTAATATTACCATAGATAACAATTGATATTAATACTAGCCAACTAAAAGCTAATAAAAAATCACCGCCGGCTTAGCTAATGTGGAGGAGACCTCTTTCGGCACCTTATTAACCCTCGAAGCATCGAGACATACCAGAACATAAGATCCAGCAATACTACTTAATAGGCTCTTTCCTTCCCATGCCGCTTCTCTTTTCTCCTCTCTCTGTCTTGCTCCCTACGGTACTGTCTTGGGTCTTCGTACAGGAGCACCTGATTCTGACGGTCCGCCCGTCTCCGTTTCTCCTCCGTGGATGGATAGAAACCCGTATGGGCATAGTAGCTCGTGACGTCCGAAGGGTTGTACGGCGGGTTAGGTTCTCTGTCCGGGCTAGGTTCTCTGCTCGGGTAGCCGCTTCTGTTGTAATAGCTCGCTACGTCGCTTGGGACCACCGTGTTTGGGTCTGTAGGCCACGCAGCTGTGGTATTGGGTCCTGCGACATACCCAGCGGTGGCACTCGAAAAAGATGCATACTGCTGCTGCTGCTGCTGCTGCCCCCCCATAGGAGTATCCGAAGCAGGAAAACTACCGATTTATTAGTTCTAAATACCCAGTAAGTCGGGGCTTGCTTTTCTTCTTACCTCGGTGTTTGCATCCATTGCGTTACTCGATCGTGGAGTTCACGCCTCTCGGGGGATATTTCGGTTTGAGGTCGTTGGAGGCTTGTGTTGTATGCCGCTTGGCTACTGCCGTATGGACCAGGGTCTCGACTGCGCTGCGGAGCTGAGCTAGCTTGGGCATCTCCAGAATGATAACGGGCTCTATTTTCTGCTAGAAGTCTTCCTATGTATCTAGGATCATACGGATCGAATTGTCTACCTATTGCTCGGCCGTTGTCGTCTCGTTCAATGACCACCCGATTTGAACGGTCATCCCGCTCTTTAGATCTACCCTTGCTATTGTTGCCCATTGTAATACGAGGCAAAAGATAGGGTTAATAAATCGACAAGTCTGGTGTCTATGGTGCTGGATACGATAGTACTGAAAGAGACAAGAGATGCAGGTCAAAGGGATAAAGTCAAGCAGTTAGTGGGCTCCAGGGCATGTTTAAGTAGACAGAAAATAGACAGGACGATTCGATAGGCAACACAACCCAATGACTGGCCTCCTCGATGATGTTTCAACTTCATTGATTCATTAGTGATGAAGCCTGCGTAACACTTGTTAGAGGTTCTGACTAGATACCCAAGTTTTACCTCTGCATGGCAGATGAGAGATCATGACATATCCACGTGCATCATAGTTTCACAGCTGCGTACCTAGGCTAAGAAAGCAGTGTTTTCATTTTATCTAATTACACTCACGATTACATGAGCTTGTTTAATTGGTTCCTTAATCATTGCGAATGGAATGAATTCCTAGGATATACGAATGAATGTTAATGGATAGGTACCTTATTTGACGTCCCTTTTAATCTGAATATTATATAGAGCTTCTAGTACTTTAGGTACCTACGAAATACACCAGCCAGATGTACTGGTATGTTATCTTGTTAGTGAAAGGCAGAATTGCCATGCACCTGAATCATGCCTAGTAAGACGATATCTTCTAGGTAGGTTACCACGGAAGTGGTCACTTAGCAGATCATAGGTACCTCTTAGATAACTTGTACTCGGCATATATAGTTGAGTAACGTCTTTATATTGTTTCTACTGTAACTTATCATAAACCAAAGGTTAAGTTCGTATTTTCAGTCTCGCCAGAACTCGAGTACTACTTAGGTATCATATAGGATTAATCGATTCGTATCATTAGTTGGAGGTTTATTTTTGTATATCTGTTTCTGTTTAACGTTTAGGCTTGTAGATTAACTACCTAGGTAACTATAAGAGTATAGGTCGTTAACTAGGTAGAGCCCTATATATTCTACACTATTATTCTAAAATTTATGTACTTATGTAGGCCATTAAGAATTCCTCAACCTTACGAGGTGTCAGATTAGTCAGCCATGTCAGGTGACCTGAAAATCCTTAATCTTATATAAAATAGCGGTATAATACGCGTTCCCACGATTTTACCTCAATCAATCAAATTATTAATAAAATAATAAATTAAACCTTATATAACGCTTATTTAATACGTATTAATTATATAATAATTAAAAGTTTTATACGTTTAAATCGTATAAATTTTAAAAATAAAATCTTAACCGGTATTATATAATATAATACGTACACGTTAAAATAAATTTTAAACAAATTATTATTCATTTATTCATTTTATTATAAATTTTATTATATTATTATTAAGTTTTAAATTTAAATATTTTAATAATTAAAATGTATAAAATAAAACGTTTATATTATTTATTTAAAACTATTAACTTTAAAAATAAATAAACTTTAATAATATTAATATATATAAAAAATTTAAAATTTAATTTAAATTTTTTTCTTAAATACTTTAAATTTAAAATTATAAAAAATTACTTAACTTATTTAAATCTTATTCGGAAATAATAATAAAAATAAAAATTTTATTAAAAAATTAATTGTTAACAATATTAATTTTAAATAATTAACCTTTTTTTTTTAAAATAATATAAAAAATAATTAAAGCTTTATAAAAACTTTACTTAAAAAAATTAAACGTATATATACGCATTAAAAATAAATATAATTAATAAAAAAAAATTATTAAATTAAAATAATTAATTATTTAAACCGTATCGAAATTTTATTTCGAAATTGTATAATAATTTAAACATATATGTTGGAATATGGGGAATAGCCAATTATGTAAGCTAGTCACGTGCCACCACGTGCGTGGGGCTAAGCCTAAAAGGGTTTACCTTTTAAGCTAACCCACACACACACAACTTAACAACAGACAACAATAGATCGTGATAGCCTCATTTCAGTACCGTGTGTTCCCTTTCCTTTGCCGTACGCTTATTGGTGTACACCTAATCTTTACTTAATTATTACCTTATACCTGGTCCTTCCTACAATATAATTTGGGATATATATAATATTTTAAAAAACTATTTAAAAATATACGTATTAAAATATAAAATTTGAAATAATTATGTAAAAATTATAACACCATTTATAAAAATATTTAAAAATTAAAAGGTTTAAATAATTAATTAATCCATTACTTTTATTAAAATTAAACACTTAAAATTAACCGTTATTAAAAATCTTTAAAAGTAGTTTTACGCATTAACATTAGCTTTAAAACTTATATTAACAAATTAAATAATTATTTAAAATATTATCTTTTATAAAAAGATATATAATAAAACTTTAATATTTTAAAAAATGGTTATAACGTTACAAAAACATACATAAATTTTTAAAAATATTAAAGAAAAAAAAATAGTTAAAAACGCCTTTAAATTAACTTATAATATTAATAAAAGTAAAAATATTAACTAAAAAAATAAATTTAACCGCTAAAAAAAATTATTATAATTTATAAAAACCTTTAAAAAATAATAAAACAGCTTTAACAAACGTAAAAAAGTTAATATTAACTTAAATTAACCTTATAAATATCGAAACTATAATTATAATATTAAATACAAAACTTATTAAAGCTTTTATAATGTTAAAAACTACTTTTATATATTTAAAAATAAAAAGCTTAAATATTTTAAACTTAAAAAAATAAATGTTACTTTAATAAAATTAACCTTAAAAATTAACCTTAATTTAATAATTAAAATAAAAACCTTAAAAAAAAAAGCAAAGGTTTAAAAAGTAAAAAATAAAAATAATTAATTAAATAAATATATAACCATTATAAAAAAAGATATAGTTTTTGTAGTATTAACTTACACCGCTGCTTTTAATATTATTTAATATTTGTTAAAAAATTTAATAATATTAAATTTAAGAATTACTATTTACATATTTAATAAAATATTTTAATTTGTTGATTTTAAGGTAATATTGCCAAATAATTATATTATAATAAATAATAATAAAATTAAAATTATAAATTATAAAAAAGTAAATATTTACACTTAACACTTAAAAGGATTTATTAAAATAAAATTAATAAATATAATTTATTATAAAAATTTTACTTATAATTTTATATCTTTAAAATAGTTACGAAAATAAAGCTATTAATAAAATATACGCAATAATCCCATTTATTTAAAATAATTAAACAATATTATTGTAATTAAATTCGTTAATTATTATAATTAATTCGTATTTGAAAATATCCTTTATAAAATTTTAAAAACTATTTTTTATACCTACCGCAACATTTTAAATTTAAAATTTACAAAAATCTTAAACATTACAATTATTTCTTGTTAATATTTAAAATTAAAATACTTAAAGTCTTAAGCTTTAAAATATCTAATTAATATTAATAAAAAGGTAAAAATTAAAAAATTTATAATAGTTAAATGTAAAATATACAATATATTTAAAGTAAAATATTAAGTAAAACATATACCGCACCGTATTAATAAGCTTTTTAATATAAGGTTAACCTTTAATTTTCATCTAATAAAAGTAAATAACTACAAGATTATAAACCTTATATTAATTATTAATAAATAAATTAATATAATTTTTAATTATTATTTATATAATTAAAAATTGGAAATAATAATTATAATTTTAAAAAACTTTATTAAATTATTAAAATATTAATATAATATTACCCCACAAGTTTAAGAATTAAATTATAAGATTATTTAAATAAAATTAATAATAAAAAACTATTTTAAAAGCTTTTATATAAAATTAAAACCTTTAATTAATTATATATAAGTATAAAATAATGTTATTAAATGTTTAAAGGATATAATCAAAAATAAAACTAAGGTTATAAAGGTAAATATAAAATTACCGCATTTATTATAATTAAAAATATATAAAGTTACAATATATTTACATAATTATATACCGCAATATAAATATAATTAACAATTTTTATATAATTATTTTTATATATTCGTAATAATAAATAACAATATTATAACTTAAAAAAAAAAGTCTTAATAAGTTTATTTACAAGTATATAATTATAAAGTTTATATATTAATAATAAACGTTTTAAAAAAAAGTTAATAAAAAATATTAATTAAACTTAAAAGCTTAAATAAACTTTTTAATAAATTATATATTAATTAATATATATAAGATTTAAAATCTTTATATAAATAAAATAATAAAAATTTATAATATAATTTTTAATAAAAATAAGTTATTTAATAAAAACCTTATAAAGTTAAAAAAAAATTACGTAATAATTTATTTTATAAATATTAAGAAATATAATTATATATTTTAATTTATTTAAAATTTTTAATCGGTTATTATTTAAGTTATTAACGATAATATAGTAAATAATAAATTTAAATATATTAAAAATATAAATATATTAAAGTTAAATTTAACGTTATTAATAAATAATATATTAAATAAATTTAAAGCAATAAATATTATAATAAAAATTAATTACCCTTATATAAATATTAAATTTACCCTTATATTAACTTTAAATTTATTATTATTAATAATTTTATTTATAATTATAATATATTTTAAAATATTAAATTATTTTAATATTTTACTTAATAAAAAATATTTATAAATTGAAATTTAATAAATTACATTTAATATAAGTAAATTAAAAGACCGAATAAAGATTTATTAAAAATAAACAATTAATAAAATAAGAAAAATAAAATTATTTCGTAAATTTTTTTAATATAATTTAATTATTTTAATAATATATATTAAAATTAATTTTTAATAAGTAAATAAATTTAAAAAAGTGTATTAAAAAGACTTCTTAAAGTCTTTTAAAAGATACGGTGATATTAAAAATCACTTTTATAAGATATTATTCGAAAAAGCTAAAAAAGTATATTTAAAAAGCTATTATTAAATGAAAACCTAGGAAAAAATTTTATAATTTAATTTTAAATACTTTAAAAAATAAATCTTTAATTATATATTAAATAAGAGTTGGTATTTCTTGCAAAGTATAACATATCATTTTAACATTTAAATCCTTGTGAAAGGCCTTAAATAGTTAATAATAGCATTATATTTTAAAAGAATTATAA